AAAGCCATGACTTCGGCCAATGTGACTGTCTCCACATCGGAGCGTAATTGAAAGTCAGCGAACCTTTAGGGTTTAGGGCATTGTTGCTGTAAGGGTACCGAAAGGAACTTCATGGGCTAACGGCTTCAAGGTTCTACGGGTTTGCATGGGGGTGTGGGATTTGGGGTCTATAAGACTCGGGGCCTCGGAGGTTTAAAGGATTTGTTGGGGGCTGGCAGCCCAGAGAGCCCAATACCCCTTAATTAAGGAATATAGCTTAAATCATAATATGAAGCCCTATATAGTTTATGCCATATTCCTTAATGAAGGGGCCCCTTGGGCTCTCTGGGAGTATCAGGCTGCGTTGTCGGGGTTCAGGAGCTGAGCGCTCAGCAGCTGGATGCGCGTCCATAAGATCTTCAAAAACATGCCTCTGGGTGGCATGGAAGGGGAGACTGACGCAGAAAAGCCTTACCTGCTATATATATATATATATATATATATATATATTTAACTCTTCACTACTTTCACTCCCTTAACCTCTGAACCCTAGGCCCTTCAACCTACCGAAAACCTAGATACCACAGCCGAGGACGTACTTCCTAAGCCTCCTTCAACACCGAATCCAAGAGCAAAGGCACGATGATCTTTTGCCCTAAGGATACATGTTGAAAGACTTGACATCGTGCTTGAATATCTTTGCCTTCATCGCGAAACCTGCATTATAGCCCTAACCTAAATTCCTAAACCATCCTATCCTAATCTTCTCGCCCTAACCCATAAACCTTGAGGAAGAAGCCAACTAGCCCAAAGCAGGTAACTTCTAGAGTCTGTTGACACCATTTAACAAATCTTTCTATTTGTATACTTTGAGTCCCTTCTATGAACCCCTGCTGCCTGCCTGAAGGATCAAGGGAGTGAGTAGGTAGCTGGCAAGCAGTATGTACATCATCTACTTATCGATCCTGTCTGCCCCCTAGACGCCTAATATACCACTGCAAAAACCAGGCAACTTCTAAAGTACAGAATGCATATACCAGTAGAGAAGCTTTCGAATCAATCCCTGTAAAAAATCCCAACAAAACCCTCAGTGCATACGACCGAAAAGGATTCCAAGTACTTATGTGGGAAATACTTGTAGACACAGTATGCGACAACTCCGAAACCTACATCCTATCATGTTGGTGTTTCAGACCCTTAGAGGAATCGAAAGGCTCTGAGCCCTAAACACGAAAGCTCCAGACTAGACCCCACTCCAAAACCCAATAGGAACCGACAACGTACCCCTGAAGGACTTTATAAATGGAGCCTTAGACCTTCAAACCTGTAAACCCAGGCCGCGCACCCACCACGCCAGGACCCATCGCTGCTGGCACACTCGGAAGCCTGCACAGCGAGAGATGCGCAAGAGTTTGCAATTACAGTAGAAGCCAGAAAGTTGGAACATCGCAATCCCCATGCCCTTTCAAAGGGGATCCCAGCACTATTCGTCCCAAATCCATGTTCCAACTTTCTGGGGCTCACTGTAAGGCTTTTTGAAGGTTTAGGGCTTGCAATTTGCTGAGAAGGGGGGGGTGTTAGTCTCAGCTTAGGGTTCTTGAGGGTGTCGGGTTTGTCTTTGTTTAGGGTTGTAGAAGGCTCAGGAAGATGGGGCAAGGGACTTACTAAGTCGGTTATAAGTAGGGTTATAAATGAGGTAACTCCATATAGGGCACTGATAACTCTCCTTCTAACCTACTTACAAGGTCAACCCGAAGCACTGCCTCCATTTACTATGGTCCAACTTTGTCCTCTACCGAAAAGGCTTCGGGTTTCGGGGTTTAGGTTTGGGACACGTGGGGCGAGGTTTACCGGTGCCTTTGCTTTTGGTGTTGATGCCTATAGGCTCCTGGCGAAGGTTGGTGAGGTGTGATCTGGGCTTCTGCTTGTCAGCACTTCGAACTACATCAGCATCTTTCTACTACAAACAATATTTGAATTCTCATTGGGGACATGATATCAATACAACAAGTGAGCATAGTAGTAGTGGATACTAGTAGTGCCACAAAGGCACATTCACATCGAGCTGTCACGAGGGACCCTTAAACCCAAGGGCTCCTCTTCCTGCCGACCCCTGGTTCAAGAAAACAACCTACCCGACAAGGGACTGTAATTTGGGCCCCCAAAATTTAGGATAGGGATATCCCATATAAACCCCCTTATGAAGCCCATTATGGTAGGGATATCCCTATAAAATGCTTGTGCTTATGTGCTCTTTTGGCCCCTAAGTAATAGGCATCCCGCTACCACGGCCCTTAAAACGAGAGGGGTTGGATAATCTACATTATAGGGTTTTGGTATAGCCCCACAGGCAGGATCGTGTCGTGCAGGCGAATCGGCAGACGTCAGCCAAACATCCCCTAAAACGCCTTGAACCCCCTCTTAGTTGCTGAGTTCATAAGCCCCCCAGAAGTGTACTCTTTCAGTTTTATAGTGGGAAAGATTATCCCAAAAAGTGTAAAGAGTGGATAGCTACTAAGGTATATCATAGTACCCTTATAGAAATCCCTTTAGATCCCTTTAAGGGTTATAGTACCCTTATAGAAACCCTTACGAAGGCGAACTCGCCTCTTCTTGACATCGCTGTGCCCATGTCGGATACCTTCTCTTGCAGGTATTTGGAGGCTTCTAGAGCTCATGCTTACCCAAACCCCCGAAAGGGTCCAGAAAGTCGAGCCCCTAATTTGGGGCCCTATACTACTAAGGGTACTTTACAGGAACCCCCATGAGGGATCAAGGGGTCTTTTGAGCCTTCTCTGAGGGCGTTTAGGGTCTAGGCGGTCTTAGCAATGGGAGAAGGTGGTTCCTTTAAACGGGTCTAGACAGGGCTGTAGCTGAATTAACACATAGAATAATACAGTTTCGGGGTATGACGTTGTTTTAGGTGTCTAAAGATAAGCTCTAAAACCCCAAGCCCTAAAACAAGCCAAAGCGCGTAGGCGAGTAAAGAATCGTCGTTGTGGCCAGAGGTTGGCCCCCGACAGCCACGTTTAAAGGCCAAACCTGAGTGAGTGTCGGTCGCATAGGGCCGTGATGAAGCCTTAATGTTTAGAAGAGATTTTTCTGGGATTACGGTAAACGGTTCCATAAGGGATACGATCGGGGTTGCTATACAGGCTTGGGATAGGGGCCGGAAGAAATAGAGGGGGTTTCGGGCGGAACCCTCTCATAAGTAGACTTGAACAGGGTTCTGAAGTCGGGTATAGTATATACTGAGCAAGTAAATTAGCATTCGCACTACATTGTTTAGGTTGGGTCCTTCAGGGTACCTTGATGGCTTCCTGTATAAGGATTCGATAAGTAAGTCCTTACATGAGTTAGGTTACTTGGGATGAGGGTAGGGTTTAGGGTTCTGAGGATGAACGTTTGCTGCACGTGGCAGAAGCTGAGTGCTAAAAGTTCAAGCTGGCATGGCGCTGGCGGGTTCGAAGTTAGGTGTTTGGGGATTAGGGCTTTAGATGGGTTTAGGGTTGTGTTTAATTTTGCAGGGTATATGGTTTGGGGGTTTGGGTTTAGATCCTAGGAGTTTGTGCTCTAGAGCCATTGCGACTATTGCAAATTTAAATGATTTCTCAAAGAAACATCCGTTGGGATCTGTGATTTCGGGCCTCTTTGTCTATAAGCGCCCTGAGCCCATCATAAGAACGAAGAGGGTTGGGGAGAGTATATTATACTGCACTACAAAAAGGAACCCCCCAAACCCTGCTCTAATTTATTCAGGCCCCTACATTAAGCCCTTGGAGCCCCAAATAAAAGGCAATGCATGCAACATAGGGGCCTAAATAATTGCCAATACTATTTTGGGGGCTTCCTTATTATGATTATGGTAGAATATACCCCCAAACCCAATTCCAAATTTTTACGGCCCCTACACTGAACCCTGATATTAGCCCTTGTGGTACTCCTTATAGACCCCTTTATAAGGAATCCTAAAAGGAACCCTATTCCCCACCATAAAAAAACAATGCATGCAATCCCGACGGGAAGACTGAGACACCGGCGCAGTCCGTCACGCCATTGAGCTGGGCAGGGCATAAGGCGCCAACAGGGGAAAGCACGAGGGTTTGGGGTTTTGGGTTTCCTATAAGAATTAGGCAATGAAGGATCAAAAGCGATTTCAGGGTTCAGGGCTGATGATTTTGGGTCCACGAGGGGTTTGGGCTCTTTGAAGTTTCTCTAAGGGTTCCGATAAGGATTCCTAGAAAGGATACTAGAAGGATCTATAGAGCTCTCGGGGTTCCTCTAAGGATGACAAAGAGATTTACTATGAGAGACTATAGCGGTTTCAGGGTTCGCGGCTGAGGGCTTTGGGTCTAGAGCTAGGCGGGTCGAAAGTCGGCAACGGGATTGCATACAACGACTTCTGCCTCATGACCATGCAAACAACACATGCCACAACTCCTGCTTCTAGGTTGCACCACTGTGCATGAAGATTTTTGACCCAAAGAGTCCAAACAGTACGGAGCATAATTAGCACATGCAGTCTGCTGAGCTGTCAAAACCCCAAACTCGTCTCTCAACTCTTTGAACCACCCCTGAATCCTGAAACCCTAGGCCCTAAACTCTAAATTGGATCCTGAAACCCTGATCCCGAAAGCCACAAAAGGCTCCTCAGCAATCCCTAAATCTTGAGGGCGGCCTTTCTCCAAATACTCATTTCTGATATACAAAGAGATCCCAAACTGAAGGGGCCAAAGAGTCCTACTTCGGAACACGATCTCGAAACCCTAAACCCCTAAACCCGTAACTTAGTTGCTGAGTTCATAAGCCCCCAAAAGTGTACTCTTTCAGGTTTACAATGGGTAATATTGTCCCAAAAAGTGTAAAATGTATCCAGTCAGCTACTAAGATATTAACCCTGAACCCTGTAACCTTAAACACTCATCCCGAAACCTACCGCAGGGTCCTTGAGGTTCCAGAGCAGGTATCTGAAGTTGGGCGGCGCCGGTTCCACCGCCACGACCCGAGCTCCCTCCTCAGCTGACAGCTTCCACAAAGAGGACCTGTCCCTGGGGCCTTTGAAATGCAGGTTTTAGGGCTTTTGATTTGTATTTGGATTGTATTTGTGCTATATACATGTATATATATATTTGCAATAAAGCTTTTGGGTTTGTTTGAGCCCCAGCAAGTTTTAAGGTCCAGGGTTGAATTCGGCAAAACTGAACACTTCAGACTCTGGGAGTCACCAGGAGGGTGCTACTGTTGAGGGTAGCTCGAGACTAGACTCAAACAAAAGGGGACACCGAGGTATGTGTATTATATGTGTATATATATATATGTATGTATATATATATATAATTATATATATAGATGGGAGTTTCCTAATATACGGGACTCTAATATAGAAACCTAAATAGTAGAATCCTTATTGCAATGACCCCCACATAAGGTCCCCCGAATTTTCGGAAACTCCCATATACATATTATATATATATATATATATGTATGGTCTTTCGGCCCGAAAGCCTTAATATACGAGTCCTCAGGGCCCTACGGAAAAGTGGATATCCAGGTAGGGACTCGCGAGAAAAAATTCAAAAGACTCGCGCTGAGCCCGAAACGACAACGACCGGACCAAAAAACATACAACAGTTACCCCCTTGTAACTAGTTACTAAGCCCCATGAACCTTCAAGTATACAAACCTGACAGCAAAAAACAGAAACCCTAAATCCCAAAAACCCGAACAAGCTGAACCTTGCAAGCATCCTGTGTGGGTGCCGTTCCGGCTTGAAGAATTGCTTCTTTACGGGCTGAGTATCCTAGCTCCAAAAAGGTTAACCTCTTCATTTATGGTACGATTAAATACACCCCAAAAGGTTACATCAAAGGTCACCTACTCAGCTACTAAAACATCCTGGAAATATATCCAAGCTGCCCAGAGCTTGCAAAGAAGCACCGACACGACGCCGACCCTGACAGCGGAGAGCGGCTGATCGGAGTTTAGTGTTGGGCTTGGGTACAATACAATACAAGAATCAGAAGGAAGCCTAGGCAACAATATTCGCAATTGTTGAGGCTTCTATACGAGCATCCCAGCATCATAAACTTGATACCGTGAAAACCTTTGTAAGTCTTCTAAATCCCGAGGTTAATCGGTCTCAGGGCTGTAGTTTTGGGCCTAAGGGCCGATCCTGCTGGACGCAGCGGTTCAGGGGTCCCTCGTGATCACAGATGATTCAAAGCTGGACTTCTATTCCAACTATACTAGGGTTTGGGGCTTAGGGTTGACGGATAAGTGCGCAAGCTTTGCAGCCAACCCCAAACCTTTAACGGCTTCACACTACCAAGACGGCTCACCATGGCAGAACTTGATCTTGCTAATGTAGGAGAACAGATTACCAATACTATTTTTCCGCGAATTCCTGATTATGAAACAGGTATAATATACCCCAAAACGACCGGACCACCGCCATAGCGCGGTATATCCCTGGGTCGTGGGCAAAGCAAGCCACTTCTCTCCCAGATGCCGGGCGAAGCGTGCACGCATCGGGCCCGGTGGCAAATCAAACGACTGGCCCATGCTGTCCGGAACCGCCTCAGCCTGTGCTAGTCCATCGTACGCACGTGTGAGGCGGTCAATCGCCTTGATGAATGAGTACAAGGCACTTCGCTCTGCCGAGGATCCTACGTTCAATCACAAGGGCCCCGCAACCCTCTTCAATTTCGCATCATAGGATTTTCCTTCTCTATAAGCATCAGTTGATCTGGCGACCAAGTTGTCGTCAGTTACTCCCGACAAGGTCCCGAGGGCGTGTGATCGGGAAAATCCCAAAACTCCAATCTCTGAGAGAATGGCTGTGGCATCTTCGAGGTTGTCCTCCGTCGCCGCATCCTTTATGATCTTGAAGTTCAATCTATTAAGAACCCTAGACCTTAGAACCCAGTTACGTGGATCCCTTATTTGAAGAATCCCTTTATTTAAGGAACCCTATCCGAATATTTAAAGCCCCTATGTTGTGGATCTCAAGCCGCCAAGGCAAAAAAACACACTGCTTGCTATACATCCCTATGGCAACTAAGCCGGATGTAAACCTCTCCAATATGACACATTGACACCCCGAACGTCTAAGCTAGTTTGGGGTTTGGGGTTCAGAGTTAAAAGTTTTTGGGCTTTAAGGGATCAGTACCTTAAGGGTTAGAGCTTCAAGGGTTTTAAGCGTTTGCAGTTTTTCAGGGCTTAGGGGTTGGAGTTAAGAAGACCCCCAGAAGAAAACCACATAAATCGAGACGAGGAGCGAAGCTCCGATGTCCACGGCAACCGCCGCCTGGCAGTCTGTCTGTCTTCCATTTGGACGAATAACAACAATATGTAATTCTAACAAACAAATGCTGACACCAATGCTAACACTAAGACGAATACTGATATTGACACACACACACACACATAGACTAACACATTAAAACACTCACACACTCACACTAACAATAATAACAATTTAATAATGGCAATAATCATGATAACAATACTTGTTTGCGCAGTATTTCTGGCTCTTTGGATGTTGGGCACCTTGTGGGTAATTAGTTAGTCCGGCACTGGCCGCACATGTAGCAAGGAAGGCGATCGGTGCAGCGCTTTCGGCAAATGCCTTTCACAAGGTTCGAAGGTGCGAGGTTTAAAAAAATGCCAACAAACCTCATACCATCCAAATGTGCAAAAACCCTCGTTCCGAGACTCATTTTGGCTTATGAATGGAAGATGCCAACAAACCTCATAACATGCAAATGCGCAAAAAACCCTCGTTCCGAGACGCATTTTGTCTTATGCATGGAAAATGCCAACAAACCTCATAACATCCAAACGTGCAAAAACCCTTGTTCCGAGACGCATTTTTGTCTTATGAATGGAAGATGCCAACAAACCTCATAGTATGCAAATGTGCGAAAACCTTCGTTCCGAGACGCATTTTTGCTTATGAATGGAAGATGCCAACAAACCTCAAAACATCAAAATGTGCAAAAACCCTCGTTCCGAGACGCATTTTGTCTTATGAGTGGAAGATGCCAACAAACCTCATAACATCCAAATGTGCGAAAACCCTCATTTGGAGACGCATTTTTGCTTATGAATGGAAGATGCCAACAAACCTGGATACATCATCACTTTGTGCACCCGTGTGTGGTGAAAGAGCCGACGACCTGTTTGCAAGGTAACTCCACCTGCACCTTGCCCTGATGCCCCAAACAAGTGGTATTGATCCACTGACTCAACAATGTCAATCTGCTCCTTTGCATCTCCTGGTGCAACTAGCATGACATCACCTTCACAAGCTTCCTGAATGCCAAAATCCACTTCCGTGTCATGCCACATCTCCATGGCAAAATCCCCTCCTCTCTTCTCATGCGTGATGTTGTAGGCTGGAATCATGAACTCCCTGTACACGAACTCGGCCGAAACCTTCATACCATATCTGCATATGAACATCTCGAAAGGCATAGCTTCATCTGTCCTTTGCAGTGCTGCAGTCAGATTGGACACTGCCACAGGCCTGGGGTGCTTAGCATCTGGCACTGTTCACTGCTGATGCTGGTCAAAGGGGGCAAGCGTGAAACAAGTTCGCAATCAAAAGTTCAGCACATCTGGTCTGCCACTCGAGTCTTTCATCCAATGTCCGGGATGAGTGGTCTGCATTGCGAATCCTGATGCTCCTAGGGCTGGCATCACAGATCTCAAGTCCAGCAGGGAAATTTCCTGAAGCACCTTTGCTACTTGACCCTCCTAGTAGCCAGACTTTGCCAAACACTTCGAGTGCTTCTGGCTCAACCATCATCTGCAAGGTGTCGATGTCCCAGGTAGTAGAAAAGATCGCACCGTGAAGGAGCTCGTGAAGCGAATGTCTTCCTGGAGCACCTGCCAGACTAAGCTGCCACCGTTACAGCTATCATTAATCTGACATACACCTGCCACGACAAGGTTTTACGACATTGTCTGAAGTCCCAGCCTTGGCCTTCTCCTTCAGGTTCTCTTATTATGCGGCTTCTTGACAGCATCCTCAACAGCCTTGCGCCCCGAACCCTCAAACTCAACATCCCGAACCTCAAACCTCGAGCCAACATGAAAGTCCAGCCTGCAGCTGCCAGACTTGGGCTTCTGCTTCTTCTACGTGATAGCCACAAAGGAAAACATAATAGCAAGCCTTCTAATCGCTTCCCCCTAATAGTAAACAACCCCCTAATATTAAAAATACTTTTTCCCGGACCCCCCAAAAAATACCCCCGCCCTTTAAAACCCATTTTGGATTAGGGGGTGCAGGTCTAGGGTTTTAAGGTTTAGGGTTTAGGGGTCCCTAAACCCTAAACCCTCAAGGGTTAAGTGGGGTTTAGGGTTTAGGGTGCTCCTTTGAAGGGTCGGCTCTCTGTTTTCGGCTGCTGCGCTCTGTCTGCTGCAGCTGTCTTTTGCGAGCATGGCTTGCCTAGCCTGCCTCGCTGTTCATACTGCCAAACAGCAGCAAAGATCGGCTGCCTGCCTGTCTGTTTTTGCAAGTCTTTCTGTCTGCCTAAGACTCAGAAAAGGTTTTTAGGGCTTCAGGGTTTCGGTTTAAGGGTTTAGGGGTTTAGGGCTTCAGGGTGTAGGGCTTTAAAGCAGGTGCAGCGACCTTGACTGGCTGTCTGGCTACCGAAAAGCAGCCTTCGAGGATCGCCTGCCTCTCTGTCTCAGCAGGTCTTTGGGGTTTAGGGGTTTAGGTTTAAAGGTTTAGGGCCTTAGGGGCGATCCTGTCTGGCTGTCTGCCCTCAGCTGCTGTAGCACAGCCGCAGACAGCTGAAGGGTGGCCCTGCCTGTCTGAGCCGAGACAGCAGGGCCACCCTTCTCACCTCGAGTCTTTCTGGCATGCTGTCTGCCTGGCTGATGTGCCTTGCCACATCGTCTCTGAACGAGAACCAGGAGTCCTGGAGGGTTCAGTCGTGATCCAACAGATGATAGCTTCGTGGTATTAGCTTTTCAGCTGGCCACATCATCAAACCAAGTAATTATCTGAACGAAGTGTTCCTCTCGTACGGACTTCGATTAATTACTGTCGCAGCATCTAGTTCGTCGCCCAGTCCTGTCGCCTCTCGGCGCAGACAGCTGCCCTGCCGATGCCATGGAGCTCCTCCTGGCGACTTTGTTTCATTGTTGGCTGGCTGTGGCTTGATTTGTTCTGCCTGGACGTCTGCCAGGATGGCTGTCTGGCGGCTGAGCTCGGCAGTGACTGCCTGGCTGATTCACATATGCTTGTTTTGAAAGTTCTGAAGTGGCTGTCTGCCTGCACGGCTTCTGTCTGGCTTTGCACAGCCGCCAGCAGGCTTTCGAGCTCGACCTCCCGAATAAGTACATCTGTGTACGAAACAAGGCACTTCCAGTAATTAGTTAATTAATTAATTAGCCAGCATCCGAAACCAGGCACTTCCAGTACTAAGGTTGCACGACGAGCAAGCACCATCCTGCCAGCATCCGAAACAAGGCACTTCCAGTACTAATGCCGTACTACAATCCAACACAATCCAGCCAGCATCCGATACCAGGCACTTCCAGTACTCAGGTTGTACTATGAGAAAGCACCATTCTGGCAGCATCCGAAACAAGGCACTTCCAGTATCCAGCACAATCCAGCCCCAGCCACCTAGGCAGCATCCAACAGCCGAGAAGCACAAAAACCCTTTGCATCCGTTACAAGGCACTTCCAGTTTCCTGGATCCTTGTCATGCTGAGCTCCCACTCAACTAGCCGACTAACCACTAAGCTATCCGAGCCCTGGTATCCAAGTGATGCCACAAGCTGGTGCTCAGAGTTGATTAAGGTTTTCGGGTGCCCTGAACTTTAGCCTATAATTACCAAAAAAACAAGACGGGAGCAGGGCTAGTAATTATCTCCAATGGCATCTTGGTTCGGATTTGTTTTGCAAAAGTCGCGGCCCGGCGGGATCCGGTGAGTCGATGTTCTCGCCATTCCCGATTTCAGTGCTCTGGCAGAAGTATGCCTTCAGCTCCTGCATTTCTTGATTGCTGTTGTGGCCAATGTTGTACATCATCCAATCCGGTAAGCTGGATGTCTGTTCGCAGCAGCCGCTGTCATCCAGATGAAAGAGTCGTCCAGTGTCTTCCAGCCATCCAAGCTTGCAGGCTGCACTTAATTAATTATTAGGGTTCTTACTGCCCTGAACTTTAGCCTACACTACAAAATACGGAGCAGTGGATAACACCTCCAAGGGTGCAAATGGCACGGCCTCATGGTGGCCTGGCCGATGACTACCTGCTTGGTAGGGCTAAGAAGGCTACAACACTAACCACTGCGCTACTTCGGCCGTGTCCACCTCACACCGGTGTCAGTCGAACTACTTATCACCATTGGAGGTGTTACCTACTGCCCCGTTTTTTGTTGGTATAGGCTAGAGTTCAGGGAGGGCACACCCTAACCCCAAACCCATCTGAAGCTTGGAAGCTTGACTGGCAGCTTGACAGCCAGGCACCACAACACTGAGCTCACCGGCAAGCTGGAAACTTAGCCGTCGCTGGACGTGCGCTTGAAGACTCGAGTCTCGAGTCCGAACAGACGGTTCAGGACGCCTGCCACCAGCAACCTGGCAGTGGCCCTGCAGTTGAGCAGCGAGCTCCTCACCATTCATCGGGACTGGCGACTCCATCCACTCCCCGGATCCCGACCGGGCCTGCGTCTTACCATGACACCACCGGGAATCGAGCCCTTGCACTGTTGCAGCCTCCATCTCGAATCGCACGACGCACCTCCGGGCCATTGGGTAGAAGCACAGCTAGTGGCTGCATCAAATCATGTGTGAGCACTGGATTTCATTTGCTTCGGATTCTCGTTTGCAAACTCTTTTTCGCCTGCTGCTGCACGCTTCGGATGCAAGCATGATTCGTCATTGGCAGCATTTAGTACTGGAAGTGCCTCGTTTCGCAGGCTGGCTGCATTGTGGCAAATCCTAGTACAAGCTTCGTACTTGTACTACGAGAAAGCCCCATGCTGCCAGCATCCGAAACAAGGCACTTCCAGCACTAATGCCGAACTACAATCCAGCACAATCCAGCCAATCTCCGAAACCAGACACTTCCAGTACTGAGGTGGTACTACGAGAAAGCACCATCCTGCCAGCATCCGAAACAAGGCACTTCCAGTACTCTTGCCGAACTACAATCCAGCACAATCCAGCCAGCATCCGAAACCAGGCACTTCCAGTACTAAGGTTGTACTACAATCCAGCACAATCCAGCCAGCATCCGAAACCAGACACTTCCAGTACTAAGGTTGTACTACGAGAAAGCACCATGC